GTAGTTGTTCTACTTCGATGTCGTACTTCATTTTATGAAGTATTGTTTCATCGTGGCTGTTGTTTAACAGATGATTCCGGTACATTAATCGGCTGTTCAACTACTCGACGATTTACAACCTGTCCAGTTCAATTGGTGGTCTGACGACAATATCATTCGCGCGAATCATCAGTTTATGCAGTCGAGCGAATCTCCTGCAAACTGAAAACGACATTGTCGCCTCTATCCCAACACTGACAGCGTTTTTCACGGGTATCATTGGCATGAGTCCAGAGTGACACTCTTGGTTTCTTATGTTCTTTTCGATATTTTTCTGTTCACTAACCGAACAAACACGCAGAATTCACCGTTTATCATCTTTTAGAGACTTCATCGTGCCACCTTTTGCTGTCGATTTGTAGCCTTCAACCCTTACTGACTGTAACAGCAGTCATCGACTTTTCAAACTGTGACTACAAGTTGGTCAATAGCTTCGCACAACGAAATCACGACCACTCTTCACTGTTATACTTCTGTACTTACGGTTAGTCTGTTAGATATAGATATAACTAGAATTTGACACTAATTAATAGCTGTCAACGACACTGACCGACTTACAACTTTAAACTAATGACAGTACAAATATGGATATCTATTGATAATACACTTATCCTACTATCGCTATAGCATCATTACTCTTGCGGCAGACTTAACGTTTGTCATCGGAGGAACTGAATTACTTGTCAAGGCTATATATTTCAGCGCGACTTGATAGAACAATAAAACGTTTTGTTCTTTTCATTATTTCTATGGTTAATCGCTTTACGTTTAACCAACGTCCTACCAACATATTATGACTCGCTGTTTCCCGACCAGTTTCTGCCGCCTCCTTTCCATTTCTTTTACAGATAAGCAATACCTGGAGGATTTATAATATTCGTTTGGCACTCTCTGGCGCGCGACTGCTCCCAACATGTTTGGTACCGATTCAAACGGCCGTTGAATCTGGTGGGGGAGTATTGTAGGGCCAGTGAAATGTCACTGAGCCCTAGCCGAATCATCCGGCAGTTGAATCACTGAATGTCGAACAGATCATCGCTCCCTGCCAAGGTCATGTACAAGCAACGCGCATTAGTTAATCATACGCCATGGACTGGCCCATGCGGCAGTGGTCTTACTTTCGCCTGTATCTACCTTAACTAATATATTTCTGTAATAACGTCGTTTGTGTTGTACAGTCTTCAAAGCATCTATAGTACCTTGTTACGTCAATGGGGGTAGTCCACGTAAGGTGCTGACCACGAAATGTGACTTCGACGTTAGTTGGTTCGTCACACTATTCACGTCTAACTCGAGTCGGCCTCCAATCATTTCGACATAGATCATCTACGTTGGTGATCTACAATCATATAGGCACAAGGTCCTCGATCTTACAATGTTGCAAGTTGTTCACATGATGTATAAAGACCCTTCGTCCCAGTATGGGACTACTCGAAAGTGCGCATCAATAATCCCCGCTCTGAACTCAAGCCCAGGCCCCTCAATCTTGCATAGACGCTTCAATTTAGGCTGTAACAACTTAGGTTGATTGGTTAAGAGTTGGCTGCAAACGTCTTATTAATGACATAAGTGAAAAAGGCGAAAAGAACAGCAAGACTTGCGACCTTAAGAATCACTCATGTGGCCGTAATTCAGGTAGAGTAATTTTAAAAGAAAATCCGGCTATAGTTTAGTAACACTTACAAATTATAGGAAACACAGTTGCAATAATGACTTAGTGTCAAATCTAGGCAAAAGTTGAAACCGTGTACCTAGAAATACACATATTTTGGCTGTATGTCGGCCTAAACAGTATTTTTGGATTGTTTCAACCGAGGTATCTAAGAGATTTTGCTCGCTTTAAAAATTATGAGAATGACTCACTTGAAATAATTAAGAAATAATAATTGGGGTGTGATAACAGAAAAAACCATTAAACTACGCTATCGAATTAAACAAGGTTAATTCTTGCATTTTTATAACATTATAGGTTTGTTTATTAGTTGATTTAGTACAGATCCGAGAGGATTTAAATGAAATACAGGAAATTACTACAATCAACAATCCACAATACCCACATTTTTTATCTCAATAAAAAAAATCAGGTGAACAACGTCGGGTTATAAAGCAACAAGAGATGAGGGCAAATAGCTAATGGTAGCGTCAGAATTATTGAAGGAAACTTGAATTTGATTTCTTTATTTCTAATAACTTGTTAGGCTCTTGACATAATTGTTAATATTTTAAAAGTAGATGTATGCTGACTTCGTACAGAATTCGATGGCCGGTGATGTTTTATCAAGCACAATCGATAAGAGAAAATGTACATGGTACCAACGTATCCATGGAACACATGAGATTATTATTGATAGAACTAGTTGCACGAATTTGAGCTAATGGCCAAAATACCATTGAGTATCTTATATTTTGACAAACGGAAGATAAAGAAAGAAAGGTGATTGTGCTTGTTTGGAAAACTTTGTCTGATTCACATACAGAAGCAGTGGAATTTTAAACCTCAATACTAAATAGTTGAAGATGTAGAAGAAATATATGATAAACTGAAACTTGATGTAATGTAAGCCTTCAATTAAGAGCGTTCACGCGCTTGGTGTCCAGTAAAACTAATATGGACAGCGTGAACAAGGAACGTTTTGGGATACTTATTAACACAGAAGCTGGATTTTGGAAAATAAGTCAATAAAATTATAAAACAATTGGCGAAGAAATTCCAGAGTCCATCTAGAATGCGACAGAGATGAATAAGAACAGCAAGCTGCATATTTCTTATTTGCCGTTACTCATGTGGGATATGCTAGAAATCTATTTGGTGATTTGACTTGTAATACCTTAATGCTAAAGTTAATCTCACTATTAGACCAAGTCGAATAGTATAGATGCCTAACTAGCATATTGCTATACTATCCAATAATCAACATTATGCATTATGACACAAGACATACTCAACAGCTGGAGTTCTCCATGAAATAAATACTTCACTCTATCTATCGCCAGAACGTGGGATAAATTAAAAGTAGGCACAAGCAACCGATCAAAAATCAAGGTGCAACAATAACCATAGAAGTTAAGGATTTATTTAAAACATGTATTCAATGTCGAACAGGCTGTTAAAAAAATACAGTAAGACTAAGAAAAGTAATAATTTTATATAGCTGTGATGATTTTAGTCGTGTTGCAATGATCTTATGGAACAATGTTTTCTGATCCCGATAAAAGTATTGAAATTATATGCCAGCAGATAACATCTGTAACTAAACTACTAGTAGTCTAAAATAGATAGTACTTCCACGTTGTTGAAAACGTGTTGTTTACGTATGGTGAGTTTCATCTCGATCTGTTTCAGGAAGTTAACTGGCAAGTCAAAGGCCCTACATTACATATGGTTGCTGTCGAGTGACCTTGATGATGATTTAAGAAGACAATCCAGTATAGTATTGACTTAAGTAAGAGGGTGTTGATCTGAGATTCGAAAGACAGCTCTTAACTTCAAGGCGAGATCCAGATTTAGCGTCCATGTAAGTCAAAGAACTGTTTAGTTGATTAGCATTTCGCTCTAATTCAGACATGTACCAGTACTTTGTGCCACGTGGTCCTAGTGAAAAAATAAAGTGGACTGCAAACTTGACTTATTGTGATATACAGAAGTAATTAAATTCAGTATGACAAATAGTAATTCCTATAACAGTCAAATTAGTACTCTAATAGTCACGTGTAAGTCACTGTCAAAGTCAGAGAGAATGCCGATAATAAAATCAAGGTGACGTTTTTGTAGTTCGAACTAGGCGCAAAATAATGTACGAAAGAATTTTTAATTAGCACAATTACAAATATTATCAAAATCGAAGGTTAATCTTATTTTAAAGACATGTCAACCAGAAAATCATAGGGAAAGTGAAGATTATATTATGTGCATAAAATGGAAGTCCTTTGATTTCTAAATAGACAACAGGATCCCCATCAATCTTAAGTGATTTGATAGTTTCTCATCCTTACGTAGTTAATGAAACGTTGAGTCTGTAGTTGAGAATGCATTGCTTCCCAAAAGTACTTGTTCTGTGTGGTTGTTTATTATTGCGGCTATATTTTAGAATGATGAGTGGCGTACAGTCTACACTTTCGAGTGGCTAGATTTTTTGCTTTTCTACGACTAAGTAAGCAATATCAGGATTATTCATGATGTATGGTATATGTCTACTCTTCAAACTAGAATAAGCATAACACTAAAGCAAAGAAACGTCTAGTCCCGACAGTTCAAAACGGCAACAAACTTACGGCTTACACTTTGATTAAGTCTAATGACACGACGTCCTCTTCATTATAAGTATTTTGTACTGATCAAAAACTTACTTTGACACGTGAGCCTGATATCATGTAGAAGAAATCTTTTTAAAAGGTGATTCAAAGTAGAACTAACAAAAAGTTATTTGGATTCAGGAGAAAACCATTTGCATTTTGTCCACAACCGTCGCAGCTGCGATCTGTGCACCATAGAAGAACAAATGATGTTGAATCATTATGTCAGGATGTTGCCGTTTAGTAGTCGGACACATAAGAACCCATATGAGAAGTGTATTTTAACGTTTCTGTGTTGAGAATCCAGATCTGACACCTCAAGCTGACTCGTCCCAAACTATGCGTTTGATATATCGACTCAGTAGTACCCAGTAAAGGTGTTAGAGGTTCCTACTCAGGCCGGATCGGAATTGTTTTTAATCCTTGAGACTTCTGAAAGTTGGGCACAAAGTTCACGCTTTTCCATATATACAAATCATTATTTTAATTCAAAATAAATCAAGTTTAAGAATGAGATGCCGTTGAAATCTGCAGATCTTAAATTAATTTTACTAACAATTAAAATTTAACGAGGCATTGGACTGCTGGAGTTGATGTGTTGGTGTTTATTCGTTTCGGTAATATATGTGGAAATTCAATTACGTTGCTAATGTAAATTGTTGAGAATCATGTTGGAATTCTCGTGGGATAAAATAGCGAAGTTAAATGAAGCTGACATAGATATAGACAATGCAAACTATTACTGCCAATTGTTTTTAGATGTATGCGCAGATTCTCCACATTATTTGATTATTTCAGGCTAATGTTGAGGACTGGGATGATAGTGATCGACTTAAGCATGTTTTTCAAATTACTCAGACGTTGCTTAACCTAAAATGGGAACAATGGAAGTTATCAGAGGCAAGCTTGTCGGACAAAACCTCAGAAATAAATAATCTGAAAGATCAAATAAGGGAACTAGAACAAGAAAACAAAGATTTGCAAAAAGCAATTTCTGCTTCTGGTCTTGATAGAGGAAGCATTGGTGAGACGAGGAGACTTGAGTTTAAAGTCGTCAAACTGCAATCTGAACTAGAATCCCTAAGGATAGCCAAAGATACCTCTTTTAAAGAAAAAGAAGAACTTTTGAATGAAAAAGGTGATCTGGAAAGAAAAGTGGAACTGGTTTCAAAAGAAAATAAGGAACTTCAGGAGCGTTGTGAGTACTTGCACCTGCAACTTCAGGATCGACCCAGCTTTTTCGGTAAAAGTAATGATGAGGCTAATTACAGAAAAGAAATTTCCTCCTTACGTGCAAAAATAAGGGTACAGAAAGCTGAAATAGATGTAAGGATCATAGTTATTTAACTATTTGATCAGGGATTAGAAGATGAAAAACAGAATTTATGGAGTGATATCAATCGTTTGGAGAGCAACCTTCGGCAAGCCAGCATGGAAATCGATCGCGCCACCGATGACTATGTGAAAATGAAAGAAGCCTTAACAGAAGCTGATAAAAGTCACGCAGAAAAGTCGGCTGAATGCAGTATGTTGCGCGCTCAGTTAGCCAATCTTTCCGAAAAGATTGGTCATCCTGAAGAAACAAATAACCTTATCATGAGTGCTGTTGAACAGAAGATTGAGGAATGGAAAGAGGTACTGAAATTCATTTCTCAGTAATTTTTAGATACTGGCAGACAAAGACATGGAAATAGTTAAGCTTAATGAACGAATTATAGAGTTTTCTCAGGAATTGCGAGATCTTAAAGCTGACTCCGATAAAACCAGTGTACAAGCCCTAATGAAGTCCATAAAAGATCGTGATGTTCAGGTAACTAAAATGATTACTATCGTTTTTGATCACATTTATGAGTATTTTCACTCTATTTATGACTAAAATCTGGTACATATTTGTGCGTTTTAACTTCTCAGGGTAAATAGCTATGATAGTTTATGCCTTACATTCTCCTAACTCATCTGCTTTTTGTTCAGGTGATGAAAGTCGATGAGTACAAACCACTACACAACCTAGGATTCGTTTTGTACAACAAAGCGTTAGTCGTGTGTATTTGTTTAAAACAAAAGCTTTTAAAATACTGTACATAAATAGATCGATTGCACAAAATTAACTACTGATAAGGGTACATTACGGTTCCGAACAAGATAATGGGTTGCAGTAGGGACATGAGTGGTAAGCAAAGTGAATAGGCCTATTAAAAGCAAAAATTGTAAGAAGCACAATGTGCAAACGAAAATGTAAAAGGTTTGAATCGTTGGGTTTCTTTAACTTGAAGAATTTTTGTTTATTGAAGTTCTTAAGGCTAAAACTGGGCATTAAACGTCGGCTGTATAATCCACTGAAGTATTTTGGTACGTCTGAATGTCTTTAATTAAACTTACATAGTATTTTGACCAATAATTGATGGTGCTGAGCAAAATGGTCCGGGATCGTCTTTAGTAAAGCAGTTGAAACCATCTGTTATAATCTCCCAAAGTTTGGGTAAAAGTGCCATTTCTATTCCTTGATTTAATTGTTTCATCTTTATTAAACTGTATTTTAAATTTTTAGATACCCGTTGACATCGTTTATCCTCTTTGACTTCCTGCCCTGTAACTTTTCGTTCTTGCTGTTCTAATATGAGGTGTTGCATTTTAAACTAAAACTCATTTGTCCCAGGCCCTGCATTGATATGGACTGGTTGGTTTATTTTGGAGAGTCCTTGGCATGTATATGGGCATCTAGTGAATAGGTAAATGCTCAAAAATCCGAACAAACATGGTTAGAGAACAATGAATAGTGGCAACAGCTCAGTTTTTGACCAATCAAAGGCGTACAGAATGATTGTGTGCAGTGGTAAGATGTGGAAGCAAAGGAGCTAGAAAGGATGGCAGCGATGGGTAACACTAGATAATTATTTCGACTCATCAGGGAAACGGGTGTTAAAAATTCATCTGTTAGCCACATTAATTCCCTGTTAGTCCGGGATATAATATTGATGATTAGAAAACTTAAAAGAGCGGTTCAAATGGCATCTGAATACTCTCCAGTTAGCCACTATCTCTTACGAATGTAAATGGAAGATCAACATTAGTTTTCCAACTCTCAGCTAGGTTGTAAAGATTGTATCTAATTTAAAAAAATCGAGAGCAATAGAATGTGATAAGTTAATTTAAATCTTTATGTATAGTGGTTATTTTTTTAGTTAAGTAAACTACGATACTAGTTCGAGAACTGGGAGTGGTCTAATCTAACTAGTATTGATTGTTGAGCACCCTAGTTTATACGAAATAACTCTAATCACGTTAGGGTATGAGATAAAAAAGTGACGAGGAAATTCGGAAATTAGTAATTTATACAGACTACGTTCATGACGCTACTGAATACACAATAAATTTCTCAGATAGACAATTGAAAATTGAGATTGATGTTTTTTAGACTTTTTTTCACATCAAATTTTTTAGTTTTCTACTGTTTGTATGAAAAATCTACTGTAACTTTAATGTACTCTTACAAAGCCATCGTAAAGTCATCAAAAAGTACACGACACCTCAAACCTGTGTCCATAGGCTACGGATATCTGTAAATCCAATCTTTGTAGTCCATATGTGGCAATTTACTGAAATGTATCCAAATGTTGAATTTCACTGTAAATAAGGAAATATTCAATTGCTAATTTAAACCGATTCCATGAATATCGGTCTGTGAGACGTTAGTGTGTCATTTATCCTCATAAAACATATCTAGCTAATTATTCAAGCCAAATATTATTTATAATCTTATGTCATGTAACATTTGTGTTATTGGTTTCAAATAGATACACTCCCTAAAAAAACAACTTACGGATGCTACAAATGAAGTTGAGAAAAGCACAACTCTTTTAAACGAACTCGCGAAGCAAGCAAATGAGAATGAATTTGATCCTAGTAGTCGCAAAGCTGAACGTATTGTTGTCCTTAGAAAACAACTTCAAGAAAAAGAAAACCTTAACACCGAACTGGAGAAAAGGTTGGAGCTTGTAGGTTATGAAGATATTTTTTGAAAACCTAACTGTATACACCTTTATGCTTTCACTTGTTGTCTTGAGAATATACCGGGTTGTTTTTTAATATAAGAAATTTTATTTTATTTGACGAAGAAATTCTACACTAACCATATATATGTCTATTACAAAAATGATGACCCCATGATGTCTTTTCTCAATAAACCTTGTAAGTCGCTGACATTATCATAAGAGCTTAAAGTTTTACTTTATCTGAATAAATTTGGTTGTTATTATGATTAAAGCAGACAAAAAGCATAAACTCGCTAGCGCCATTTGTTTTAGACCTAAATTTTTTGAACACTGCATTGCTTTAAGAACAACTTAGCCTAGATTCTCTCAACACTTAGTTTCTAATTGTGCTTGCTTGTTTTAGATTAGTCGAATCGATGGTAGATATGGTAAATCCTCATGTGCGGCACATTTAGGTTGGCAAGTTCATTGGGAGTTCTGCTGCTCTTGTCGAATAATTTAAGATGAATACCTACGTTTCTCATCTGTGAATACGTCTTTTAGCATTACATATGCATCGATTAAAACACATTTACGTCATAAATCTAAGATATCTTTTGACTAAGTTGGATAGTAGTTGTTTTTAGTTTATTGTCAATGAAGGTTGTGAGACTGACAAATTACGCTTATTATTATACCCGCGACACTAAGTATCAGATACAACTTCTATCTGGCAAAACAAACAGATGAGATGTGGATCCTTCTAGCATGGAATTTCCTGCCAAGAGTTTGAGACTGTTACACAGAATATATTTCCCTATAAGTCTGTCTGTTTTGAATTCAACTTAGAAGCATAGTTAGCTAACTAAAGTGCTGGATAAAAATGTTTTTATTGTGGTAAATCATATTTGGAAAGCACTTCGAGGATTTTCACATCACATGAAATTCATTTTAGGGCTTTCGCTAAATGGTCACAAGATTAAATTGCCAAAAGATGTAAGTGGCTGCATTTTTTCATGTAGAATTTATTTGAGGTGTGTTAGCACTCATGTTATAACTTGTAACCGCCAATTAGAGGACAGTGAATTATCGATCGGACCAAGGAGGCGCAAAACACGTGCGAGCAGTCTAGAGTCTTGATTGGTCCTGCTTTCCACCTAGCCCACCCAGTTAAGTCCAGAATACCAATCTCAGCCTCTGCGATATGAATCCTGTGTTTTAAACATACTCTGTTTATATACCAATCAAGCAGACCACATCGTACCATAAAATAGAAAATAACATTTGTACAAGATTTAGCCAGATGTGGCTGTGAATGAGGGAGGTAGTAATTAATATACTGGGTATAACTCAAGAATGGTAAAATGTATAATAATAGTTTATGGGTCAAAATAAAGCTTATAATAAGAGGAATATGAATATGCATGGTTTAGTTACTCAATAATTATATAATAGAAATATACGTTGATTATTGGTCCATCAATAGATCCCAAAAGTTACCATTTATTATTCTTGTCGGGACATAACAACTTATATATATTAAAACACTGCCAACTATACAGATAGTGATTTTCTTGTATTTTTTCCTGATATTCCTCAAGTATGTCCCTTTATTTTCTGCAAGAAATTACAGTGAGCCCAATATTGTATGACAGAGCAGACAGTTAGTTTCGATACAGTTAGTAAACTGCCTTCAAATGTTGTTTCAGCTTGTCCCAATCATTCAGAACCTAATCAGTCGATTTATTCTTTATGTACTCAGGCTGAAGAAGCTGCTCAGTCTCAAGCCAACGAGGTAACTATTTTAGAAAAGCAACTAAAACGTTATGAAGAAGGAGAGTATGGTTTATCAGAAGCTATTGCTGAATTAAAAGCTACTAGATTACAATTAAACTCAAAAGAAAGACAATTGGAAGAGGTTTGTCGTCTAGCAAGTCAAGCTGAATCATCTCTTAATGAAATAAATTTAGAAAATGAACATTTAAGAAGTAAGCTTGGAATACCATTGATTGAAAAAATTGATCTGAATGGCTACCGTCGTCAAAAACGAGCAGAAGTTGAAGAAGATCGTGCAGTAAATATAATACTACAAAAAGAAGTACGTAAACACTTTTTATACATTTTTTGAAAGTGAAGTAGATTTCTGTGTTCATTGCCTTGCCTTCACTCTGTAGCTTCATGTGGAAAATTTTATTTTATTTTATCTTCATACAATTAAGCGGTAATCTGACTTCAACAGGTTATAAAGATATTTAGCATATTGTTCAATAATTTTATGATATTATTCGATACGCATACTAATGATGAAGTTTGTATATGTACACATGTAAACCACGTTTATTAACTAACTTTGCTGAGTTCTTGAGATTCACTTTTTAATTATTCCTTCTGCACATTCTGATCTAAGTATATTTAACTTTTGTTTTAGTGCACACATTCTTGCGGGCAAAATGTCTAAAGCTCCTCAGCAGTTTAGTCATTTCACTTCAATATTTGGAGAACCTACAAATTTCATATTAGACTTATCAACCAATTAAATTATATAAGTCATCTTTAGCGACATATAAAAATAAATTAGGGTGACAGAAATCACTGTATGGTACCACAAGAAAGCACACCACTATCAGTTGACAAACAAGAGAATAAAGTCTAGTAAAACTTTATTTCAGAACCACAGACAAAATAGTC